TGCGTAAAAACAAAAATGTACATGCTTTTTTGGCCGCGCACTGTATTGATTAAATGTATGTCTATCTTAATACTTCATATCTAACATATCAATTAAATAAAGAACAAGTAATAACATCTTTGTTGAAATCTCAGTCTACCGACCTATTTCTTTTTTGACATAGAATATGAGAAGTCTTCTTACTTTTTTAAAATCTACATTCAAATGGATAACAATCAAAGCAGGAACACTAAATTAACTATGACATGGTAATTTCTTGTAATCTATTTTCAAAAAAATCTTATCTGTCAATATCAAAAGCAACATCGATAATTATCATAAACTTCTCTATCCAATAGTACGGGAAAATCTTTAGATAAAGGATATGCTAGATATAATTAAACATTCTTAGATATTATTTAGAATCTCAAAAGAATTGATATATTGGCACGAAATTCTATAACTAGGTTTCAGGACTTTCAGCTGAAAATATTAGAAAAGGGGCAGAGTTTAGTATAGCCCCGCACTTGTTATAAACTTTCCTCATCACTAGACAACCTTAAAATATCAAAATGCGAATAGATATTTGCATTAACCTGAGAGTGAAGATGTCACATATGCATATATCCATCAGGCTTGTGTCGCCCTCTATTGATGTTTTCTATTCGCCGTGCTGTTCTCTATTCGTTGAGTCTTCATTCTCACACTGCGAATTTTACATCTGAATTGGTCTACTTTTTTTTTACATAATTTCTTGGTGATACGATGTTTACATTCACTGATTTAGTTTTAAAAGTCATCAAAGATCATGAAGAAAGAAAAAAAATTTAATTGGTTCATACATTCACCCTTTATATATATAAATAGATGGCGCGCCTTTTAGAAGTGCCTATTTTTCTATTTAGCTTCATTTAGAATTTTGGTTGATTGCTTTCGATTCACAACGAAATGAAGTGTTAATAGAGTAGGAATAAAATCAATGAAAATGTGTTAGGCGTTGGTTTCTATAGTGCGGGGCTATACTAAACTCTGCCCTTAGAAAAGTAAAAATAAAATTTTCTATATTGTTTTGTTTTTTTTTTCTAAAGACCTTCAGAAGAAGTATTAAGATGAGAATTTTTTTTGTTGTCAATAATAAATTACTTTTTCATCAAGTGATTCCAGTGTGCAAGAAACGCAACAAATTTAATAATTTTCTCTTAAAAAAAAGAAAAGAACAATCTAAAATCTTACTTTGATTTCATTGTCTAAGAAGTTTAATGCATTCTTCAACATCTCCTAATAGCATTGGAATCTGATCTTGTAAATAAATAAAAGTTAATTTTTCCCAACAATCTTTACCATCTAATTTTGGTCGAACTTCTGCATGAAAACAAAAACCAATATTTCCTTTAACTTTTGTTCTATAAATAGGTAAATCAACTGTACAAATAACTCCATGATCATCATTAATAAGTGCATACTTTATCATTTGACCATATTGCTTTTTCTTATACTTGTTAATGAGCGGTTTTGTTGAGCCTCATATAAAATAATATCATAATTTTCACGAATTAATAAAAGACGTGTACCAACCTAAAAAATTAATGAAAAAATTTAAAAAAAGAAACAAATTTAAACTTACAATATAATTTTTTTTATTTAGAAAAATAAATTGATTTCGAGCAACCCATATAGCATTCAAATCAGACAAATGACACCTTTCAGATTGACGAGTTGCAATAATTACAATAAATTCATATTTTACATATTAAAAATTGCGAATATATAATAAAATTTTTCCAAATTGCTGTTGATCTAGCAAACAAAAAGAAAAGAATTCAATGATGAACACATACTTGAATATTGTGTGTTCGCCTGCTTCGTGTGCTCACAAACGAACATGACACAGACAAGAATGAAAAACAGGCCTAGACAATAATGTTTTTTTCTTTTCTTCGCTCGTCCGTAAGTTATGCTTCATGTTGTCATTGATGATCAATGATAATATGACATAATGAGTGTGTATCTCAATTAAGCATTAACCATACACATACATTGAGATACTGTGATTGACTTTATCTCAATGTATGCGTGTATGTTGATAATAGCTTAATTTTTATCATCTTTTCATCACTCTCTGACGAGAAAAAAAAAGAAAATTATCGACTTTTTAACGTATAAATATGAATGATTTTCCATGTAAAAATCATTCAATTTATTGAATCAAATATTAATCTTTTCTTTTTATATTTTAGAATGATTTCGACGATACAAAATTATACAATTCAAATCAATACAACACAATAAAAAAATGTAGGTATCAGTTTTTTTTCTTTATTAGATCATACAGAGGGTGGTAAGTCCTCTTGTGATCTTTTATATTCATGTTTTTCTTTTTCTTTTCTTTGTTGAGATGAGAATAGTTAGTGTGAGTGAGGTACGTTGAGTGTAGGGTTTCGCTTTATAAGAAGGACTTCCGGGTAGTCCCTAAAAGCCTGGCCAGGAACTGTCTTGGTGTCCGTGGCATACGATCGGGCCCCCAGACTCACTGACATATGACATGGGATGGATGCATGTGAATGATGTGGGTCTTCCCGCGCGTGCATGAGCTTTACGCTCGCCACGGCTCCACCAGGATGGTTCCTGGTCGCGCGCACGCGAAGAGAATAGAATAGCTGTGAAATCATTTTTCCATTCAATCGCGATTTATTTGAAAGAGAAAGAGAACAGAAAATAAAATAAAATTCATCATCGTATTGAGTTTCGTAGGATATTAAATTTTTGTACTCGATTATTCGAGCAGTCGGCGACATAGAGATTACCATGTCGATCGAATGATAAACCTATGGGAGAATTGAGTTGATTCGACTGTGCTCCTTCACTGTTTCCACCAATAATAACACTTCCTTGTGTGGCTCCTTTTGGCCAACGCATGATTCGGTGATTCCTAGAATCAGCCACATAGACAGTACCCAATTGATCGACAACGAGTCCTTGAGGATAATTCAATTGTGTAAGACTATTTCCTTTTCCTTGACCACCGGCTACAACAATGCTTTGTGTTGCACCTTCTTCCCATTTCATTACACGATGATTCCAATAATCAGACACATAAACTGAATGATCTCGATCGACAAATACGTAGTGGGGATTAGAGAGTTGATCGAGACGATGTCCTTTTCCATTGCCACCTGCAACCACTGTTCCTTTAGTGTCATCAATTTTATATCGTCTCACTTCATGTTCTTCGTCGTCAACGACATAGAGAAAACCATTGTTGCCCATTGTCAAACCAATGCAAGAGATATTCGAAATAATAGTTTCTCCACGAGTACCATTTCGACGAGGCCATCGAACTACTCTTTTATTCTGCCAATCGTTGATGATGAGACAATCGCTCTCTTTGTCGATAATCACATCTACTGGGCAGTTTAACTGATGAGCTCCATTTTCTTCTCCATTTCCACCAGCAACTACTCTTCCATTCGTTGCATCAGATTTCCATTCCACAATACGGTGATTATACCAATCAGCGACATAAATCGTCCGATCATCGTCGACGTACAAACCGAATGGCTGATTGAGTTGATTGGTTCCACTGCCCCATCCATTTCCTCCAGCAACAGTGATACCATTCTGTGACCATTTTGCATTCGGATGAATATCAATGGAACTTGCACGCATTGGTACTGAAAAGAAACAAAAGTATGAAGTAAAAATAAACATCAATGTCATTGAAATGACTCATTCTCGTTTGTTTTAAACAGTATTGAACTGCTCTCAATTACAAAAGCTTTTAACTTATGAACTTGATTAGAATCTGGCTTTTCTCAATGTTGAAAACAAATATTGTTGACGTTTTCAAATATTTTGAAACTAACTAAAATTTAACTGATAATGTGAAAAATTGTGATTAACTCGAATTTTATCGTAAATGAAATATGCTTTTATATCGAATTTTTTCAACATATTCACTGATTTCGTTAGTTCGAGTTTGAAATATATTTAAAAATTATTTCATTTTTTATTGTTTGGATTTTACAATAAAATGAGTTATAATAGAATTTGAACGTAAGAAAAAACAATTTTATTATCAGTTGATAGTAAACGGTGTATGATTTATGTTCATCACACATTTCTGAGTGAAATGAGACAAAATAAATTTGCCACTTTTATATGAATTTGTTAAAAACATCTTGCTAGATAATAACGATAGTTAATTATACTTAACTACCATGCATAAGACGTTTTTAACTGATTCATATAAAAAAATTACAAATTTTTTGTGCAAGTATTTTTCTTTCTTATTTCATTTACGAATGTGTGACAAATATAAATCATACATCATTCGAAAGTATTTTATGCCATGAATTTTGCATCATACTTATTATTGAGTAATTTATTCCTGAATCTCAAACAAACAAGTAGTTTGTAGAAAGGCTAATTGAAGTGCTAAATAAGATAAGTTTAGATAAAAAAATACGTAAGTTCGAATTTTAGTAGATAAGAAGAACTCAAAAACAAATCTTTCCCAAGTTCAAGAATATTTCAAGAATCTGTCATGTTCATTATTCTGCATTGTAGCACAAACAATGATCTGTATACGAATCAATCAAATCTTTTATTGTGAATTCATTTCTAATGGATTTCAAATTTTCAACTTAATAGGGTATGAAACACGTTTTTTTAAACAATAGTAGTTTCGATCACGGATAGATTTCGGTCTTTCTACAATTAAATATTTTCGCTTCTTTACAAGACAATACGAATCTCCTATGAAAATCTTGATCTAAAATGTTTGCAAGCTTATGTTTTGTAGGTTATTCAATAGGTGTAAATTTTTGAGGAATCTCACAAAAAAAAACGATCGTAAAGATTTTATCACGATTTTAGCTATTCTCAATAGCAATAAGTGTGAAGATTTCTTCTTCAAATTGTTATTGTATCGCATTCTGAACTGGTTAA